GATCGAAGTCAACACTCAGAGTTCACCGATCCCAGATCAGTAGTAGGAGGATGCTGGTTTGCATGAACACTGAAAACATCAATCATTTCTAAATAGTACTCAAATCCAAATTACAATTACAATTTAATTATAGCGTTGCAGTACAAAGGTGTTTAATGTCATTGATTCAGAACTTTTCCCCAGAAAATATGCACTGATGGAAAGTATATACTATCAAGTGCTAAACATCTAAAATCCTATTAGAAATTTTGTGGTTGCTCAAAATCTTCAAAATACAGGTATTCACTTTTCTGCTTCAGCTAGTTCTTCTATAGTGTTCATCTACCCTACAGAAATGTTTGGTGAATTGTTCATGTTTACAACATGCTTTTAAATGTAAAAGGGCATGTAAATCAACTGTCGCTGTGATACATGGACTGCTAACAGCTCTTAGACTGAAAAACTTCCTGATCTCACTCAGAGCTTGCCTGCCATACCTCTAAGTTTCATTAATTTTTGACAGTTCTTCCTTCCTGGGTTAAGATATTATTTTCTTTGTGAAGCATGGTCTCTTTAGTGGTAGGTATAATAATTTGCCATTTAGAAAACACAGGTGAACTTTATTAGGATTATATGCTTGAAAATGAAGAATGTTATTAAAATATCCAAAGAAGCATTTGAACGTAGTTCTAGCATTAGTTATATCTATATTTTTAATCAATGTAACTACAGAGTTTGATTTTTCACTTCTAGAATTCCCATCTGGGTTTTGACTCAATAATTATAGTTGTAGCTAATTGCCAATTCTATATTTAAGTTGCTAGGAATTTCTTCCAAAGGATTACAGTGAGCCCTTCTTTCAAAAACTTCCATATCTGTCTTATTTACAGCAGAAATCTGATATTAGTTAAGAGATAACCCTGTGATTTTTTTTTCCCCACACAATTCAATTTCTGATTTGGCTGTAATACAAAGTGTCAAACATTATAGTTTCTGTTCTCGTTTTTTATATAATCGGACAAAGCACACAGCTTTTCTAATCTGTCTGAAGCTGCTGGTAATGTTCTGAGAACATTCTTCACTTTTGACAGTGGTTATAATAGTTGAGGTGTAGATGAAGGCCAGAGCCTGCACATGTGTAGGTGCTTTCCTCCCCATTAGTCCAAGAAGAGGCAGGTGGGCTGAGCACCCATCACTGAGACTGGGGACACACTGGAGCCCTCCCTGTAAACTCCACAATCTGACATACGGCCACATCCTGTTCTGCTCACACTGTCAGTGAAGCAAGGGAGCTCCTGCATGGCTCTAACAATGCTTCAATGATTTTTCATGCACTTGTTGTTTCCTCTGTAGAGGTATGTTCTGAACTTGTCTTCCAGTCCAGCTTTTCTCTGGCAGACAAAAGTTGAGTGCCTCTAAGTTTTACAAGTAGCAGAGTTACCTTAAAGCTACAGGTCAGACATTATAATGGAGCAGAGATATGAGAGCCTAGGTCATGTGAGATCCAGGGATTTACAAAGCCTTTGCAGCAGCATTGTGTTCAGTAGACGTGTGAGTAGAGTATTGATTCTGTGTTGGTATTGCTAGTATTAATAAAAAAATACCAGAAAGAGCCTTGCAACCATTCAAATTGGTTGTTTTGCCTACGATTATAAGCTACGGGCCAGAAAATTAGTTTTAAAGCCCAGTTTAAGACAAAAGTCAAAACAGTTCTGGCCACACAAGTAATGTGGGGCTCACGAGTAAGAGCAGCTTCTTACTTGTGAATTTAATAAAGGATGCTCACCATGTGGTCCCCCATGTAAGCATAGGAAGTAGAATACAACCCACACTAGGAAGGATAATAATGCCTTCTCTCCAAATATAAGTGGAGTGAGAAAATGGGTTAAAACCCAAACCTGACAATAGATTTAACTGAAAGTAATTTTTTTCATCCTTGTCGATTGTGCACTTAAGAGACTGTGCTGCTCCAAGGAGCACAGAAGAATGCACAGAAAAGAGAAGTGGATCCATTCCTTCTCCTCCTCACAACTCCTGTCCAGCAGTCAATAGTAGAAAATGTCCCAAACCCAGAATTTTTAATCTCAACAGAAAGGCAAATATATGCAATAGGAGACCTTCAAAGCCTTTGAAACAAATATAATGCAATCAAGAAATTTAATGTTTTCAGACCCATGTAGGTAGTAACATACTGGAAAATCAGGATTCTTACCAAAAGTTTATCCTGTTTTTCTGTAGAATTTCACTATTCTTTTTTGAGACCTTAGTGATGTACAATTTATTTTCTCTGTTGTATGCATTTTTGCATTGGTCTTAACTACAGAAGGCAAGTCTACTTGAAGATATTTTAGTTGTAACCCTAAAAGCTGTCTCATGATATGCTGCTCTTTCCATACTTTTTGAGTCCTTCACTACCTTTCCATTCCTGATTCCTGAGTTCACCATCTGCAATACTTTTCCAGTAAAAATAGTAAATGTAGCGATGTCTTCGTTCAACTCATTGCAAGCAGATATATTATGTGGTGCTTACTTCCAGGTATCCAGTACTCCTTTGATACCTAGCCTCCCCTAACCTAGGCATTTAATTTAAAAGAAACATTGAAACATGTTTTATTAAAATCAGTAGGTCAAGAGAGCCTTTGCATATTTGGCCTTCAGCAGGGAAGTGTCTCCTAGATACTATTGTACTTAGAGATGAAATCAAGTCAGACCAAATGCAATGAAGTGGCCTAGTTGCATGTCAGGGGTTTTATAGGTTTTCTAATGTTCATTTCTTTTTGATTATGCATTTGCTGGTCTTCATTTGGACTGGAGCATTGTTACCTGATGTTTCTACTACACTTGAGAGGTGCAAAGTAATTTAGCACAGAAGTACATTTGCTATAAGTGTTAAATGCTCTTGCTATCTCCTATGGGTAGAGCCTGGACATCCTTAAATCCATTTATTTAGCAGAGAAGGCCTCTTTTAAAAAAGATGGATTTATTTGCTATGCTTTTTTCAGTGATGCTGCTTCGGCAAGATACCAGCACACTAAAGGAAACAAAATGTTCAGCTCAGAAATCTAAGGGGAACTTGGAGCTGCTGAGACACAATTACTTTGATATTTAAGAGGGATAAAAAAAACCCTTAGAAATTCTGTTTTGAAAAAATTAGAATAAAAGGAGTATTCAGTTTCTAAGCAAATACAGTTCTTTCAGAAATCCAAATGCCTTTTAGTTTATGTAAGTCACAGGAGGGAGAGAATATCAGTCAGAAGCCTGTCCATGCTTTCTGAAATCCACAGAAACCTCCTGAAATGGGTTGTGCTTCACATTGGGGAGTGCAGTGATGAGGGTGGAAGAATATAAAACAAATGTGCAGTAGAGAAAAAGGCAATGAAAAGGTGAAAATACAGACGTGTGTGTGAGTATGAACTTAGGTCATTGTTACAGAATAAGGGAAAGAACATCCAGTACAGGGCTCCAATTGGGCTCTTCCTTGGCATTATGCCAGTACCAATGAGAGCTTAATCAGAATGGAGGAGGTGGAGGGAGCATTGGTTTTTTGAGAAAGATGTGAGTAAAAGTAAAATACAACAGTGCCTGGAATGAGTTAAAGTTTTGGCTGACGTTAATTAGTGAGACTGCTTTTAATATGCAGTGGTGCTTTTATCTCTGCTTTCAATTAAATCAAACCATGGCAGTGAGATTTTACACAGTGCAGGATGGTGCACTGCATCACCAGATGAAACTTTAGGATAAATTTTCCTTTTGAAAGTGAATTGCACCCTTAAATATCCCATGAAACTGATAGAGCCCATTATCTTGTTTATTATTCAGGTCTTTAAAAAAATCCCTTGATGCAGCAATAATTGCTTCCCTGAATCAACTGAATTTATGTAAAACAAAGTTTCAGCTACTTTCTTGAAAATATTTCTCTCAAGGCTATTACACTAAGTGTCGTTCAGAATAGTCCCAAGAAACTTGAAGAAAATTGCCTTTTTGCTATTTTTCCCTAACATACTGAAACTATTCTCTTACAGTTTTATGTCCTTGTCATTCCACAAAGTATTAACTGTGTTTTTCTACTGAGCTGCCATTGTTAGCAGTATAACTATTGCATAAGCTGTACAGCTACATATCTCAAATTATAAAGTGGGATGGAGAAATAAAGTCAAGTGACTGGCATTCTGTGCAGCTAACAGAATATAGCACTATAAATGAGGATATTTGGTCCAGCCCTCCAGGCTCATTGACTTCAGTAATTCTCTCTGTTCATGGGCATAAAAATTCTCTCAAGGTCACACCCAAGGTTAAATCATGGGAACTTCAAAATGGGAAACTTTAAAAAATTCTTCTGAAAATAAAACAAAGGGCCTACTGAAACTAATGGGAAATTTTCCATTGACTTCAAAGGCAGTAGAATAGAATCAGAGCCATGAAACTTCATACATGGGAAAGGAATCCATGACGATGATTTTGTAGTAGTTTCTCAAATTATATATTTCCTATAGACCATCTTCTTTTACCAATTTTAATAATTTCTGTCTTCTCTTGAATTAAATAACATAGTCTTGCAGCCTAGTGCAAAGAAACCTACGTCAAAAATAGAAAATATGAGAAATAGAACATTATATAACTTGAATATTCAAAATTAAACAATAAAATAACTCACAGTAAAGTCTTTTTAACACTCTGCCAAAAGCATCAATGTCAATTTTGTTGAGAAACCATATAGTTCACAGATTTTATGATGACATATTAACACGTGACATCAGGAAGAAAGTTACAGCAGAGTTTGGGGTTTTGTTTGATTGGGGTTTTTTGTTGTTGTTTTTGGGGTTTTTTGTTGCTGTTTATTTTGGTTTGGTTTGATTTGATTTGGTTTAGTTTGTTTTTTTGTTTTTTGTAAGAGAGTAAGAACATTCACATTCTCAAACTTCATCATCACATTGTGGCATCTGTTTTAAAAAATTAATATTTCTCCACAAATCTTAGGTATGTTTAGAAACAAACATGAAAAGAAAAAAAAAATAAAACCTTTGTAAAGTGCTAAGAATTATACATCTCCTTTTAACTGATTTCTTCAAATGTACATTTGAAGACTTCAGTTTGAAATGTCAAAATGTTATGCAGTATGTTCTCAGCCAGACATGCACAATAAAATTGCCATTTTCATCACAGGAGAATTTGGCCCTGGAAGCAGAAATTCCTGAAAATGGGAGAAATATATTTGCATTCCTTTTTCCTTTCTTTTTGGGCACATTTACATGATTCTTGAGACGGACTGTAACAGTGAATAATAAGCTGTTGTGTTGAGTTTGTCTTCCATAGCTTTCTATGAGCATTTCCACCAGAAATCCTAGAAATTCTGAGCACTGAGCATGAACCCAAAAGCTCTTCAAGTGACTAATGTGACCAACTGCAATTAATGACACTTTCAATAATAAGCCATCTCATAGCTGTAATTTGCAGAAGACTTTACTGTACAATTAAAAATCATACATATATTTTAGAAAATCATGTTTGAATCAAGAGTACTCCAGGAACAGAATAAAAGATTATTCTTGTTTTGCTATTGCAATTTTTTGTCTCCATTTGAGGTCTAAGATAGCTCATCCAATGAATATTAAAAAGAGTTGCAGGAAGTGGTGAAAGACAGAAAGATTATTTAACTTTGGCACAAAGTTGTCCACATGGTATAGTTGAATCAAGGTATTGGGATAATCTGCAGCATTAGCAACATGAGGTTAACTTTTTCTGCTCATGTAGTAAAATATTTGTCAGGAATTCTACCATGTCTCATTTAGGACACATGAAAACCTGCATGCTGTATAATTTAGGCACTTTGATCCATATGAGTCTCAATATTCCAGGTTTCTATTTCTTTTTTCTTTCTACCATGCATATTTGACATAGTATGTGCAACTATTCCTTCAGGCTTTCACTCTATTGTTATTCAAAAGCCAAGAAGACAAATTCCCTCTGCAATTCAGAAAAGACAGACTTGCAGCTTTTCAGCATTTAAAAAACCTTTTGTCACCCACTGTCAGAGAGAACAAGGTAAAACCAGCATGGTCACTTTAATAGCTGGTGCTTAAAACAAAGATGGATTTGAATAGTTGCCTTGGCTTTCTGCAATGTGTTTGTGCTGTTCTCTGCACAGCACTGTAGTTTCCAAGCTGTCTTAACCACAACATCAGGGGAAGCTGTGTGCTTGTTTCCCTGTATCCTTGTAAATCATACTGTCTATTTACATGCTTTCAAGAAACAAAAAAAAATCTGCAAGTGCTTTTATTAAATTGAGTTCCCTACTGTGACACCAGTCTTCTTCCCTCTACTTGCTTTGAATGACTCTGTCTGAGGTTGGTAGTAAAGGCTAAAAGGAAAAAAACAAACCAAAATAACAAAGCTGGAACAGTCAAACCTCAGGCCATTAAGGGCCGTGTCTTCAAAGCCGTATGTCTAAGCAGAGAGGACATGTGGTTTTATTGATTGAATGCAGACTGAGAGACAGGAACTTGTAACTTTTAATTTTACTTGTGCTCCTGTCTCACTTTGCAACCCTTAAGCAACTTAATTTAACTCTGCAGAAGATCTAGCATTGTCTTTTGTAGAGTCACACCACCAGTCCCAAAGGCCAAGTCGGATTTGGGCCACACTGAGTTGTACTCATTCTGGTCTGCTCCAAGGGGGCAAGAAGACATCCTGGAGGTAGCTCAGAACACCCGCCCAAGCTAGTACAATTACATGTACTAAATCACACATTTATGTGTTATCCTCAAGCCCTTGGCCTTACTCTCCTATATCCAATATACTGGGTCTTATCCTATATTTCTTGGAAAAGTCTGAGCTGCTTTTGATACTGGCTGTGCAGCTGAGTTACATTCTGCAGTATGTACATTTGCCACAGGGCTGTATGCAGTTCACAGCTGAATCCAGAACATGCAGCCCCCTGTCTCTGTTTCTCAATCTAAACTGAAAAATAAAAATGCTTTTTGAATTCCAGGAGGAGGCCAATGATGCTTGTCGTGCCATGACTTTGCGAGGGATCTCTAGCTAACCCTGAGCAGAGAAGCAGCTGAAGCACATATTCCCATGTCCCCAGAGCAGACAGGGAGGGATGAGAGCAGGAAGAACGAGGCACAGGTCAGCTCCCAGCCGAGGTATTACCTTTCAGTGGCAGGGCTGGCTGTGAGAGCAGGAGTCTGGGCAAGGGGACCCAGGAGCCCGTTTCAGGCCCACGTTGCCATAGTGTAAGGATGAGCCAGGGAATTAGCTCCACTCCTGCTGACAGCCATCTGCTCAGAGCCATGGCCAGTGCTGCTGTTCCAGGACAGAGCTTGTGAACCCCAAACTGACATGAGTAAATGAGCGCTAGGGTGGATATAATTGACTGTTGCTGGTATTAGCAAAAAAAACCTTCACAAAACTAGCATGAAGCCATATGAGGCCCAACCTTTTGATTCCTTATTTTGAGGAAGGAAATCAAAACCCATAAAAGTTTCAAAAAAAAATACCAGAAGAACAAAATGTCTCTGTTTCTATCATGATACTGCCTAATGAAGTCTGCAGTACTGCTCCAAACCCTGTTTCTTTGCCTGTTGAACAAAAGCAGCAGAGAACACCTCATCTTGTTAATTTTTGTTACTTTTGTAGTGAGATATCTGGGACATCCTACCCACACAACTTGATGGAGAATGCTGTTTTTTAAGTTCTTAGCTTCATTTTGCCTTTTATTATGCTTGGGAGAGATAGAGTTGTCATAAATATTTAAGTAGGAAGCCAGGTAGGATAATTGAATTAATCAGTCATATTTTCTTAATGCTCCTATTGAGTTTAAGAAACACATCCACTGGTGTTATGTCTGATTATAGGTTCTGACTTGCAACCTGATTTTACTGTGAATCTTAATATGCTTGTCATGTCTTTTATG